TTTCCTTCTTTCTTTGTTTTTTTCGCAATCTTGGAGTCCCTTCTCTTAACTTGGAAGCAAGCACAAGACAGTTATTTGCCACTTTAAAAACGTAGTATGAAAGCCCTGCCTTAATCATAGACTCCCACTGGAAGCATGATCTGTATCACTGAGTCCACACCTCAGCCAACTCATGCCTGTTTCCTCCTGTCCCCCAACCACTCCCTGAAGGGAACCAGTGGCCTAGGATTTGCCCCGCTCCGTGGCTGTGTGCAGGTCCTCATTCTCTCTTTCTGTAGAGTTTGCAAGGGCTGCCTCGTCCCTTCTGGAAGCTCCTTTCCCCTGGCTACTGGGGCTTGTTTCTCTCTACTCCTCCTGTTTCCCTTGACAGTTGTGCATGCCCATCCCAGCCTCTTGGTCTTCAGCCTGACACATGCCACTGTCACTGGGCATCAGGCCCTGGCCCTCAGTTCGCAGCCTCTTAAAGCTCTGATCCCAGGGGTTGCCAAATGCCCTCAGTCAGCTCCCCAGACATCTTGCTGGCCCGCACTCTTGGACGCTGAGCTCATGCCTCTCCCCAGCAGACCTTTTCTTCCTTCTGCTTGCACCGTGTCTAATGACCTGGCTGATCTGGCCTCAAGGCCACTCCTCAGCCCTCATCTCCTGCAGCACATTCTCAGCCATTGAGCCACTGTGGCTGTGTGAGGTTTTCATTTTATTGCTTCCAAAGTGTACATTTTTCTAGTCTTTAGAGGTAAAACCTTTCGGTAAACCTTATAAAGCATGGCATAACTTTTCCCTCATCTCATTCTTCAGGGTTTTCAACTTTGAGATATATCCTTTGTGGCTTACTTTCTTATTTTTCAACAGCTTCTGCTCCTGTTGCTTGATTATTTTTAAGTTTTAGACATCTCTTGGCTTTCTAGTCCAGAAGATGTGGGCTTCGTGAGCGTGCTATTCTATAAATTCTCTCACTCCACCCACTCACACAGACCCATCCACAAGCTCACACACACACTGCATGCACTGACACCTCATTCCTCCCTGCACACAGTGCCCCACCTCTCCCACCCTCCCTGCAAACACATTCCACTGCGTGCGATGTACCATCCCCCTCACCGCCTATATCATGCTCACGTTTCTCCCAGCCAACAGATGTGACACCACAATACTCGGAACACATGCTTACCCCGCAGATACCTCAGATGCTATACCCCCATCCTCCAAATCCCGTACACACGCCACAAATACATAGGCACCGCAGCCCTAAACACCCTACACACACTTACGCACTTCATAAACATAATGGTAACACTCTATCCATACATACACCAACAGACACTGTGCCCCACACACCCACATGCATCCACACACCTCGCAAACGTGACACACAGCCCCCGCACACTCACCAACAGACAGCGCGCCTCACACATGCCTCTGCCTCTTCCACACTCCCCACCCCCCTGCACGTTCCATCTTTCCCTCTCTCAGTCTTCTAATAATTTGGGGTTATATTAGTATTCAGTGTTTTCATTATTATAACTCTATAAATATTAATCACAGCTGAGCCATGTAGAGTTTTATAATTTCATTTACCTTCTTGTACAACTTTTTGTTTTCCCTGGTTTTCTAGGTACCTATGATTAATTCATGGCTCACCTTACTCTGCCGGAGTAGATGTTTCCTAATCTCTGAGTGCTCTGTGCTGTCAGTTTTTCCATCAGCTTTGTTTCCTCCTGAAGGTGTCTGTCTCTCTCTTGACCCTTCTGGAGCCATCTGCCCACCAGCTCCTGTCCACACTCTCCGGCGCCTCTGTGGCTGTCTGCTCCATGGAAATGAAACTGCAGTTCCCCTAGGACAGGATACACTGCAATTTAGGAGTTTCCCTCCCTGCTGGGGTAGTTGAGGTTTCACATCAGGGCAATATGTTCTCCTGATAGCCAGTACGAATTGTCTCTTCAGGAAAGTACAGATGGGAATCAGGATAATTTCTGTCACTTCCAGGTCACTGCAAGACTGTTCTTTCCTGTGTGTTTCCGCATGGCTTTTCTGGTTAAAGTATAAGTATTTCTGTGCCGCTTCTGCCTGTCTCTGCGTGTCTCTGTCACATATGTGTGAGTGTCCTCAGGGATACACTGGGGTCAGGCACCCACAGACCCTCTTCTGTCCTCAAAGCCTGAGGTCATTGTGCCACCTGGCTATGGGGAACCCTGGTCCATACTTTAATATTTGGCCTCTGCTCCTCCCCGTTATTGTGCTGTTATTTCATGGGCGTCTCCCGCCTTCTGTTGACATACATGTGGACCCATTCCTCTTGGTGTTTGTATCTTCTTTTCTTCGGTCATTGTTTTACTCTTCAGTTAAAAGCTGGTCCTGTTCACCCCTCAGTTCTTTCTTTCACTCTGCTCAGAATTCCCTTTTTATTAATGAGGTGCCCCAAACTAAACAGTGCACAGCTGCCGTTTCACCCAGGTTTTTGGACAGGGATAAACAGGGCTCTGTTTTATAATGTAATACTTCTGTTTGTGCAGTTCACTCTGGAATTGCTTTCCTACTCCACTACTGCCCTCTGGATTGCTCTCATTTAGTGCGTATTAGCGCCCCCGCCACCCGCAATATCTGAGCAACTTCAGTGGACATAGTCAACTTCCTGTCTGCATTTCCAAATCCTTTTATATTGTCTTTGGCCCCCAGCGGTGTATTGCTGTGTCCTCCCCCCACCCTCATTTCCCGCTGAAGCTTGTACTGCTGACGACAGAGGGACTGATTATTAGGTAATACTCACGCTGACATTAACAGGAACTTGGTTCTGTTTCAGAGATCCCTGTGAGAAAACACATCTTAAAACGTATCCTCCCTGTCCCCAGGGATTGGCTCTTAAGACGTGGAAAGAATGTCTTCAAGAACAGGGACATTTCGGGCCTGACATTTAAGATCATCAGCTTCAAATTTGTAAACACAGACTTTGTAAAGTACTCGTGGTTCTCGACACTTTAGCAGAAGGATCAGGACGTGATTCTCCAGCTGGAAGCACCATTCATGTGGTACTTGAAGCACTGAGAAGCCTTTTGAGTCCCGCCAGTGCCCCGCCTACTCCGCCCCAGTGGCCGTGCTGCCCAAGTTCAATGATGGCAGCAGCCTTTCTCCTTTCTTCCTCTCCTTTTCTTCTCTGTTGTCCATATACCGCAAAGTTTTATGCAGAGGCATCAGAAATCACCTTTTTCTTCCTTTCCAAGCCCTAGGCTGAGCCTTTGGGAAGTATCAAGAATGGAACGAACTCTGTCCTGTAGACTACAAAAAGATCTCTCCCAGTGTTACCTGTCTTAACTCCCTTGTTTGCCAGCTAGCCAGTCTCACCACATGGCCCGTCAGCCCGTGGAGGAAGGAGGTGAGATGGAGGAAACTGTGGAGGTCTCCTCTGTCCTTCAGAACTTTCTGCTCATGGCCAGGATTGGTATCTGTTGCCTGTAGCTGTGGACTTGTAACCAGAGGGTCCTGCCCCACACCGGATGGGGAACCCTTGGCTGCTGGCCGTGTGCATGTAGGCAAGCCACACCCCCAGTTGGTCCTGCTTGTGGTGGAGTGTCACTTTTAGGTCAGCAGGCAGCCCAAGTCCCAAACCCTGGTGGTATTCGCCTCGTGTGATGCTCTTCTTTCTGCCCCCACTCTATAGTAGACACACACGTGTATGCACTCGTGCATACAGGCATGATTGGTCTTCCTGTTTTAAGAATGATTGGATGGGTGGGGGTATAGCTCAGCGGTAGAGTACTTGCCTAGCACACACATGGTCCTGGAATTGACCCTCAGAATCACAAAAACAAAACAAAACAAAATGCCAAAAAGATGAAAACAACTTGGAAATACACATCTATAAGGAAAGATGAAGCCCTGATTTCATCCTTAGCAGTTTTACGTTTCTACATGGACTTTTGATTATTAGCTTGAATGTTTTCTCTACGAAGTGAAATAGACTCTTTGTTGGGATCTATTTTTTGTGCTCCACCCCTCCCTACAGGCAGGTATGGGGGCCCAGCCTTGTGGGCTGCTGCAGTGGGTTCTCTCTCAGTTGCTGGCATCAGCTCTGCTTCCCTTTAGTGGACCAGAAGTTCTAGAAAGATGGAAAGCTCTCATGTATGTGAGCCATGTGTAGGATCAACTTCTCTGTTT